TGTTCAATTCTTTATTGGGATATATTGTGGCCCTATATATTCAAAGTGTGTTAATAATCTTTATACATATTTACAAATTTAAAATTTTTAAACCCAATATGTATAATGAACAGTTTTGTATTATTATTTAGAGCTTATTAGATTTGAAACTATTAGATTTATATAGCGGCAAGAGACTTGTAAAATTAATTTTTTTTTAGATTATCAACTTCAACAAAATTAGTTTTAAAATTTTCAATAGTATAAATTTAATAGCTTATAATATTCTCAAATCCGATTATTTCCTAATACTAATACAAAATCTGTCTATTATATATATTGGTTTTGGGAGGTTTAATAATAGTTAAAACTGGGTAGTGAAACCACCTGCATATTCAATTGTCTAATTAACAAAATTTTATAATTAAAATACATTTTAAATATACCCAATTATAGCTTAAAATATTAAAATTTACTTACTAATCATCATCAGCCATTAATAAATCCCCTGGGTTCTAATTATAATCTTCTGGCTCAAAATTTTGATTTTCTTCATTATTTTCCATAGGTTCATTATTTTCTGATAAATGATCATTATCACTATCATTATCATCAGGAAAATTTTCTAAATCATCAATAAAAATTCGATCATCTAAGTCTAAACCTTTTTCTAAAAATAAAACCAAATCTTTTTTAGTTTTAATATTATTTTCAGAATCTGAACCTGAATTTGATTCTAAATCATCATCAAATAGTAATATTTCTTTATCAAAGCCTTCATTTTTTAAAGTTTTTTCATATGTTTTGATATTTGTTTGCTTTAATATTTTTAACAATTCTTCTTCAGTCATTTCATTAGCAAAATATAAAAGTTCTTTTTTTGCATTAGAATTATAAAAAGTACATAATTTTGTTATAGTTTCTAATTTTTCTGTACTAAGTTGAAGACATTTGTTTCCAGTTAACCAAGTAAGTAAAGAAAAATTTCTTTCACAAGATGCACTATTAGGAGTAATAGCTAAAATTTTTAATGCTATTTCTTGTAAGTAAGTTGGTTTAGGTTCTAAAGAATTCCACCATAATAATGGTGTATCATGTCCTTGAGTATATGATACATCATAAGGATATTTATTTTCTTTATATAAAAAAGATGAGCAGCTGTAATATCACCACTAGTATGATTATTATTTAATTTTTGCCATATTGTATCTACTATTAAAATAATTCTAGAAAATTGTCCTTTTTTAAATCCAAAATCTTAATTATGAAATTAATAACATAATTAATAATTAAAAGAAAAATTTTTATTTGTATATAAGTGTATATATATAGCTAAAATAAATTTGTCATTTAATAAATTTATCTATATATAAACACTATATATAAATCAATAAATTTTTTAAACTAATTTATATTTAAAATATACTTACTTCGATAATTTGGTGTTAAAAAATATCCTAAAAGATATAAATCATCATCAAATTCTTTAAATTTTTTGTTTATAACATTAAAACAATATTTACGAAATTCAATTTGTTGATAATTTGGTAATTTTTTAATTGCTGCTGCTGATTTTGCTAAACTTAAATAACAATCACCAAGAGTTGCACAATTGCTTTCTAATAATAAAATTGATTTTTTTAAAGGTAATAAAATAAAATTTAATATTTTTAAATTATTAAAAAAAGCATATCGATTAATTATATTATTAATTTGCTTATTTGTTAAAATATTATCTTCAACAATCTAAAATAAAATAATTGTAATTAAAAAATAATTATGTTTATAAAAATATAAAAATATAATTATTTTGTATATCAAAAAAATTTAAAAACTAATTGTAATCAATTATATTTTAATAATTTTAATTAATTGATTATAATTAATTAAATACTTGTAATTAATTATAATTAAATTTAAATTTTTCTAATATATTTTAAATTTGATAATTTTTATATAATTAAATTTAATAAATTACCTTTTTAAAAATTTTTCTAAATGTATTACACTTTCAACTGTATCACTTGCAGTAGTCCATCTAGTTTTTGAATAATTTTTAAGACCACCTCCAACTATTTTATATTGTTCTATTAATAATCTAATTTCTGCTTCTTTAATTTATAAATAAATAAATTATATATTAAATAAATTATTTAAATAATAAAATTATAATACATACCTGCTTGATGTGAAGATTTAAAAAAATTATATAATATATTACATTTTTTGATTAATTTATTAGCTCACTCATATTTTAAAATATCTTGTACAACTAGATTTATTGCATGTGCAATATATCTAATGCTAAAAATATATGGATATTGTGTAGTAACTATATTTTGAGCAAGCTTAATATTAGCTCCATTATTACTAACAATAGCTGCAAAATGTTCTGCACCAATTGAATCTAAAACATCTTCAATTTTACTAGCTAAAAACTTAGCAGTATGAGCTTCATTAGAAAAATCACAAAGTTTATATAAATATTCTTTACGCTTTGGTATAATAATTATAAAATTCCAGTAAGAATAATTTTTTTTACTACTCCAATTATCTAATACTAAATTAAAAATTTTAAGTTATTATATTATTTATTTATAAAAATTAATAGTTAATATTAAATTATATAAATATAGTTACCTAATGTTAAATTTAAATATTGTTTAAAAATTTTATCCATTTTTTGATTAACTATTGCTAATTGTTGCTCCAATAAATTATTGGATAAAAGTTGTCATATAGATGGTTCATATGATAAATTCATTTCTTTTAAAGCTTCAATAAAAAAAGGATTTTCAATAACTCATTATGAAATTCTACATATTGTAAAAGCTTTAGCCCAAGCAAGATGAATTCTTTTAATTTTTTGATTATCTAATTTTATTAAACTAACATATTAATCAAGTGGTCCTTGAGTATTAATCTTTCTTTTTTTATTAGTATCCTCTTGTTCAGAATTATTAGAAAGAATTTTTGTAAGAAATTGATGAATTATTATTGAATCAGCTTTTTGACAGTGATTAGCTAAATGATTTTTAATTCACTAGGTTCACCACATTTCCAAGTTACTCCACATAAATTACATGTTGCTTCATATTTTCCTTTTCTAACTTGTTTTCCTTTTGTAAAATAACTCCAAACTGGACCTTCTGGGCGGCCACCAATATTTTTAACTACTTGTTTATCTTTATCTATATTTGAAGTTGATACAATACTAACTTCTTCATCAGAACTCATTTTATAAAAGCTAAAATAAATAATTTTTATAAGTTAATGATATAATTATTTTAAATATAAAATAAAAGATTTAATATTGATTTTGTCTAAACAAATGCTAAAATTCAAAGTATTTTGTATAAACTTAAATTATAAAAAAATATATTTACTCTCAAGACATATAATAAACTAGTTTATCTATTCTAGTTTTGACACAATATAGATACAATGCTATCTTATATAAACTTAATATTGATGTACTGCATACATATATTAATACAAAAATACTAATTAATAATGCTTAATATAAATTTCAGAAAGCTAAACTTGATATGACAAAATTTATAAAATATTGATTATGCAACGATTAATATCGTAAATTTATTTTGTCAGAGCAAATGGTTGACTGACATGTGCTGTGCAATGGCATATTTCAGCCAACTATTTGTTTCGGCAAACCAAATTTTATAATATTTATCACACAATTCAATATTGATGTTATCGTGCAATTATGATCATGATTAACAAGTCATTGTTGGTTAACTGAGTTTTAATTCAAGATTGTTGTACTTATATAATAACATACAAAAAAATAACAAGAAAAAAATCTATAATCATAAGAGTTTGCACAATAACATAAATTCTTATGTTTCAATTTTAATCTATACAATAATATTAATTACTTACGTACCAAATTTTAAAGTTATTAATTTTGAATTATGAGGTTAAACTTTATTGCCGTGTCTTAAAATTTTCTAGAGAAAATTTTTTGAATCTACTAAATTTATTACAATAAATTTATATTTATATTTATTTACTTAAATATTTGAGAAAAGTTAATGGCTTGTTTGCCTATTTCTAATTTTTGTAATGGCTTTTTAAAAACTAAACATGCAAAGCCGGGTCAAGCCAATAAACATCTTCAGCATTAAATAAAATTAAAAAGCCTAATATACATACAAGTCAATAAACATCTCCAGCATTAAATATAAATAAAATGCCTATTAATGATTTATCAACAGGTTAAATATCTAAAATTATTAAGCTAAATTTATTGGTAATTTAGTTTTGTTGAAAACAAGCTTTTTTTAATAATTTTTTTAACAATAGTACTAGTGATCCATTATTATCATAAATCTAGGTTCTTTTAGCAGGAGCAATTCAGTTTGTTTTTTTTTTTTTTTTTTTTTTTTTTTAGCAAGAGCAATTCAGGTTTTTTTTTTTATTGGCTTGGGTTTCGTCATTTTGAAATTGGGTTTTGTCTTTATCAGTGGGATTTGAGATTTCATCTTTCGTCAAGGGCTTCATCATTTTGAAAATTTTTAGTCTTAGGTTTTGTCTTTTGTTATCAAGCATAAAAGATTTCATCTAACAACTATAGATGATACTAAAATTTCTTTTTATATTTCAGCAATTTTATTTAAATTCCTTAGTTAAATTGCAAGCAATCTTGGGTTAATTCTAGCTCAGCAAAGCAGAGATTCGGCTTTGAATTCTATGATTATAATGTATTCAGATTTTTAGATAGGTAATATTTTATCTAATTAAGTACAATGTTTGTGCTATATTGTACAAATAATAAGTTATTTTTATTTTTAGGAATAACTTAGAATCAATTCTTATCTACTGACTTTTGATTAAAGAATCATTTTCAAATACTAATTCAGGTAATATTATGAAACTTATACTAATACAATTTATAGATAATTTTAACCTTTTAAATAAATTAACCATGATTGTTAGAAAAACTATAGAGAAATTGCTCTGAGAACAATTTTAAGGAATTTCTTAAGTTTATTACAATTTTAGTTAATATCAAGCAATGCTGTACCACCACAAATGATAGATATAGAAGATACTTTTTTTTTTAGTTCTACAAATCCAAAAATATGGTACATTTTACCGATGATTATAGGATTACTTGTCTTTGTAGTCTGTTGAAAATTTTAAAGATTCTTCAAAGATTATTAATGTTTAAGTATACTAAAAAAAAATCCTTTATATTTTAGAGCCTAATTACCTTAGGCATATTAATAAGCTTTACCTTTTTGTGCATATGTTCTGCTGCCAATTCACGAAGTGGACTCTTCGCATTAGAAGTTAGGATAATTAGATTTCATTCTCTTTCTAATGTACAGTATATACAGTATGTATGTAAGTGCAACAATGTGCTTGTATTTTTCGATTCTAATTACACCTGACTTTATACTATCTATTTATTGGCTAGAATAGAGGCTTGGTATCCAGATTTTGGATCCAAATATCTAATTTTTAATATAAAAATATTGAATTTTTATTGAAATTAAAGTTTGCTTTATTTCTATCTTTATTGATTGAAATTGTATAGTATGTTGGTTGAAAACTGAAATTTTTTTTCACTGGCAAAATACTTTTTTTTTTTTTTTTAATATTAAAGGTGACCACTTAGGCTATTGGCATGAGCTTTATTTCGGATAGTTACGATATACATCAGATTCACGAGGATACAACTAGCCACACGTACACCTT